CCTATGTGAGTTACCTTCTAACCGAGCGAGAATCCAATTGGACCCCTTATTTTCAGACACCCGGCTTAGGATTTTTGATTATCCAATTATATACATTAGACTTTATTTTTATATTATGAATTTCTTAAATCATGAACTATTCATGATAATATACAACAGGATTTTTAGAAAACCACACCTTAGATTATTATATTAGAATTACAATATTAGATAACTATACTAAAAAATTTTACTATTAAATTAAGAACAGGATTTGCTATTATTTTAAGTTAAAAAAAACTTTATTATACAAAAAATTTGCCAAGTAATTTTTTTTAATATTGAAATTTTATTACACCTGATCTAAAAATTTAGTTGACTGCTAAAATGTTTTAAAGTAGCAATACTAAAGTAGCTAAAAAATCTTAACATATATGTGGATACAAGACTTGTTTATATCTTAAACAGATTTTAATATATTAAAATAATACTGGTTTCAAACTATAGATGTGACTAAAGGTATAAATGCTTACTATAATTATAATATACTATGGCAAAAAAATACTAAACTTATTATAGTTATAACAAGCTATGATATTTTTAAATCTTAGTTGTAACCACTTATTTCTAAAATTTTATATACTTGTATTAATTTATTATACTTTTCTGAATTCTTTTAATACCAATTTGACTTCTAATAAAAATTATAATTACAATTATATATATAGATTATGCTTTATATATTGATATTAATTATATACAAAATTAGCCCAATATGCTAATATACCATGTATTATATATACTTTTGTGATATAATCTAATTTATACACAGATTATAAGTAAATTTATAATTTTGATATGACTTTATTAAGAGTAATTTTATATATACATTATATAAATGATAAATAAAAAATTGTATAGTAACTATAGAGCAATTGTGCTTATAAAGATATAAATAATATAAAAATAGTAAAAAAATAAATATGATTATATTAATTTTGTTACTATAGAGAAGGTAACTATAGAGGGAAATAACTATACTAAGTTTTTTAAAAATTTCAAGATCATAGAACTTTCTAATAAAAAGATAGTAGAAAAAGAAATACTTTTGATCAACATTGTATATAATTTTTACAGGCTTGATACAGGCTTATAATTGTGATTATCTTTTGTAAATTGACCTTTACATGTTAGTTTTTTTTTCTTATCTCTTTTATTTCTTGTTTGTATTTTTTTTGGTTTTCTTTATATCTCTGTATTTCTTTTATAGGTTTTTTTTCTTTTACTTTCTTATAAAAAAATGTCATCAAATTGATAATATTCTATTGTAGAGCAGAAATTGAATATGTCTTCAGTAGGGTCAGCTTTTTTGTATCAGAGTTGATTCTAACTGTGTAACTAGTTACATGTAAATACTTAGTTAACTTTGATTAAGTTGAAGTAGCCACATGATATTAAAATCTAAGATGTTATAATAGTTGTGTTATGTTACACCTGATTCTTAAAATTATTTGTGAATCAAAAGATCTGCACCACAATGATTGACAAACCTAACACAAAAAATCAATATACATTAAATAAATATAGGTTACTGGTATAATCATCTAAAATAAAATAATAAAAAAAAAAATACAAATAAACAAATAAGAGTGAGTTAGTAAAAACATACCAAACCTTTTTTAATAAAATGTTTTTGAATTTTTAAACAAAATAACTCAATAAAGCTTAACCAAATTTAATAAATTTTTTTAAATAAATTTGACAAGTTTGTAAAATTAATTTTAAATTATAGTTATTTTTGTTTAAAAATTTAAAAAAATTTTATTAAAAAAAATTTGGAGCGTTTCTACTGACTCATCCCAAATAAAAGAAATAATATTTTATATCTATATTAAATCATGCGGTAAAGTATATTTATCTAGATAAATATTTTTTTAATTAAAAAAAATTAATTTGCACATTATGTTTAATTAATAAAAATTTTATTAAATTACTTATAATTGTACGTACGTACGTATTTTAAAAATGTTATCTCACTTATGATTTAATTTAAAAAAAAATTTTTTACGAAAGCTTGCTATGCATAAAAAAAACTTATTTAATTAATAATATCCTAATTCTAACCATCATGGACGGGCAGATATTTTAAAATACTGTATGCAGGGTTTAAAATTGATTTGCACATACATGCACAGTGCATGTAAATTTTTTAATGTGCAAGAAAAAATAATTCTGTGCATGGAAATTTTATAGTAAAATTAAATTTTTACACATGTTACACAAAATTTTCAATTTGTGCAAGTAAAATATTCTGAATTTTAAACACTGACTGTATGATCACAAAGGATGAAGTAGAATCCAACATGGGGTGCGAAAATAAATAAATAAAATACAATTGAGGGGTTTTTTCTTAACGAATTAATACATTTTTAAAATTAGTAACATTACTTACAATTCTCCCCTATTTGAATGTTTGTATATCCCTATTTGTAAGAACGATATTAAGAAACACTAAGATTATCAAAATTCTACAGACAATCAACAGATGAGGTAAAAGATTTAAAACAAAAACACCTTTATAATTATCAAAAGACCTACATTATAGTATTGAATTAAAGATCGGTGAAAATCGACGAAAACCGGTAAAAACCATTGAAAATATGAAATATGATAACGGACAATATAAAAATTAGTTAAACAAAATTAAAAAGAATTTTATAGTAATTTAAAATTTTCGTACAATATAAATAAAACTCTTATTGCAACATACCGTACAGCGCGGACCATAGTACCTTCCCCACATCAAAGTACCCTCTATAAACATTTTTCGCAGTTGAATACAAGATACCCGGGCACTTTACAGAGTGAAATACCCGGGTATTAACTATGTAGCATATATCATTCTATGTAAAATACACCTCTTATATAATACCGGGTACTAACTTGGATTTTAGCTGTGGAATGTATCGTATCCGGGTACTATAGTCCGCGTTGTACGGTAAATAAAAAAAAAAACCACCAAACAATATTAAACTCATATATTTATCTTTTTATTTTTTTTACAAGACAATAGAGGCTCAAAGAAGTTATATGGATCATCTCATCAGAAATATATATAGTTGCTATAATAGTATATTACTTACAAATTACGATTGCTGTTGAGCCTGATATTTAAGACGTGACTGTGCAAACAAGAGTTCTTGTTGCCTCAATAGTTCTTCTTCAGTCATTCCGGAATTTTCCAACCTAGAGCTTTTCTTATCACGATCCTAAAACATATGGGGAATAAATTAAAAATTATTAAAAATTGAAAATAATGATGAAAAAAAAAAAAAGGTTGCAAATTGATTATAAAAAAATGTACTTTTTGCAGTTTTTTGTGTTCCTTTAAGACTTCTTGTACATCGGCAAGATAATTCTCAAAGCCCAAATGCTAATAAAAAAAAAAATAATAATACAATCAATAATAATCAATAATGAAATAATATTTAATTATATGATGAAATACTTTGAGTGCATCAATGACATGTTCCGCAGCAATCGTTTTTTTAGCGTCTTTTTCGCATATGTCGTTCGCTTCAGAAGCGATCAAATGAATAAATTCTATATTTATGAAAGGAGAATAATAGAGACATTAAACATTAATATAAAAAGATAAATATAAATTTACTTAAAAAATTTCGAAATGAGTAGCTTTCACTTACCGACACAACAATCTATTAGTAAATCACGAGTGTCCTTGGCACAGTTAATATCGGGCGGTAACATTTCTGTAATAAGTTTTGTGACGGTCGCTTTATAAAAGACGAAAAGATAGGTTAATAAAGAATATAAACAAAATAGTAAGTCATTCAAGAAGTAGTCAAGAAGTCGAAGAAGTTTTTTTTTTAATAAATTTAAAATAGGAAAATAAAAAGCCAACCTTTTGGAAGCGACAAGTCGTCATCCGCACCGTTATTGCCAAGCGTTTCTCTATCGCTCATTGTGACAACAAAGATTTCTTAAGACCGGATAGATATATAGTAAGATTATCATCGTCTTGAGGATTAAGCTTGTCTTTATATAATGAAATATGGTTTCTCAACTATTCCGGTCTGTCCAAAGAAATGCCACTGCTCTATGAACGGAAAAATTGAGGTTCCAAATTGGGACCCCATAATTTAGTATTATTCATTATTTCGCAGGAACAATGTGACATAATTTTGGCCGAATTTATTACAGATTTACAAATGTGTAGTGTTACGTGAGCATAATAAATATATAATATATAATGATAATGTATAGATAATTAAATAATATATATATGTTGTAAGCAAGAACGGTGGATTCAAGATTTTAGGGTTAGAATATATATATGGGTAATGATTTTTGAACTCGGGCCAATTTTATATATGACGTAATAACATTTTTTGGTCTGGATTCAAAAATAATTACCCATATAGAATATAAATTTATATACCTATAACATTATATATACCCTAAAATTATAATTTTATATTAAGAAAATCCGAAACCAACTTACAACATATGCGTAATCTATAACTTCAAAAGCAGCAGTAGTAAAGATTTTAAATAACAAGATTAAATATATTTTAAAGAGACACTTTTTCAACAATCTTGTCAGATATATTACTCAATACTTTAAACAAATTTGAAGCAGAATATTTTTTAATCAAATCGTTATCAACTGAAGAATCTTGATTTTCTACTATGAGAGTCAGAGATGGATCAACTGGAACACGTCCTATTAAAAAAAATATATAATTAGATGCTGTAATTAAAATACATATATAGTAATAAGATTAATATTAACTCACCTAAAAAATCCACACTAAACTCATGTGCCATTGCTTCACCACCACCAGTTGAGAACAAATTCGTACACTCCTAATTAACAAATTGACAGAGTAATTAACAAAGTAATTAACAAAGTAATTAACAAAGTAATTATAACAAAGTAATTAACAAAGTAAATCACGTAATTATATTAGTCAATCGAGAAAGTAAATGAAAATGAAAACTACTATTAACCTCACAATGAGGACATATAAATCCGCTCATATTTTCAACAATGCCCAATATAGGTAAATTCACTTTCTTGCAAAAATTTAGCTCCTTACGTACATCGGCCAATGCAACTGCCTAATGAAATAATTTTAAATAATTAAAAAAAATTTATTGTTTTTGGAATTCATAATGAATGAATAAATTTATAAACCTGTGGAGTAGTCACAAGGATGGCACCATCAGGATTAGTATCTTTCAAGTACTCCACGACGGATATATGCTCATCAGAAGTACCTAAAAAATATATATAAAATCATGATGATATAATAAGATACAATCAATACAAATAATAGTAAATCCAATCTATATTGAGATTATATAATAAATTATATAATAAATGTACCTGGTGGAGTATCGATAATTAGATAATCCAATTCACCCCAACAAACGTCCGACAGGAATTGCTTAATCATGGCTGCAAAAATGGTAAAAAGTGGTAAAAATCAGATGTGAATTATATAATTTAATATTTGATATATTTAATGGATATTATTTTCACCATTCGTTACATTGATTACTAACCATTTTTTTTTTGGGCCACGCCAAACAACCGAATCATCTTTCTTTTGAAGTAAAAATCCAATTGACATGCAACATAATCTTTGACTTTCATCCATAAAAACTGGAACCCACCTTTTTTTAATAGTAGAATTCATGTCAGAGGTATTCTTGAACTTTAACCTTAACACATATAAATATGTGTTAAGGGCAAAAAATCAATAGAAATATACTAACCCAGAAGATGCTTGATGAACCTGCTTATTTTCAAGACCAAACATCCTTGGTATGCTTGGACCAGTAAGATCAATATCGAGAATTCCAACCTTATATCCTTTCTGCGCAAGACATAATGAGAGTTGTGTAGAAATTGAACTTTTCCCAACACCACCTTTACCAGATAGAACCAGTATAATATGTTTTATATTCTCAAGATGCGTAGATATTGAGTCAGACATTATGAACCTTAATAATAACAATTAACATTAATTACTTTTAAAAAAATATCGATATCGATATCGATATAATTCGACAATCTCTTAGCGATGTTACACACATCAGATATCTGATGTAGATGTGTTTTTTAACATTAACGTTAACGTTAAACATGCATGCAGGATTCTAATCTTTTGTTGCAGAATTCACTATAAAAGGTTATGATAATTGAAATATTGTTAACGTTTTAATTACGTATCGTGTTAATTATGATCCATACGTAGTATATTATTTATTATATAATTATAACATATTGATAAATCTTTAATCAGATAATTTTCTTTGCAAGTCACTTTTTTTTTTTTGACTTTAATTGTTTAGATTGTTTAATAAACTATACTAAAAATAGATGAACAGCCACAAGTAATCTTTGGATTAAACATATAACGTAAAATGTATACCGATACCATATAAAATGTATTAACAAAAGACTTTAATGAAACAATAGTTCACTTCTGAAAGGTAGTAAAATAGTTAAAACTTAAGGTAGATAGGGGTAATTTGACGAATAAGGGTAATTTGACGAATTTGCGTATCTCGACATCACGTGATCAGAATC